TTATTATTATTATTATTATTATTATTATTATTATTATTATTATTGTTATTATTATTATTATTATTATTATTATTATTATTATTATTATTATTATTATTATTATTATTATTATTATTATTATTATTATTATTATTATTATTATTATTATCATTATTATTATTATTCATCATCATCATTACCCATAAATATCAGCAAGTGTGAAAACATTTGGTTGGATTTGTTGAATGTTATCAGAATTGTCACATATTATTCGAGCTAATGTTGTTTTTCGAATTTCTTCCAATTGTTCCAATGTAAATGCTGATGGTGCAAAGAAATTTTCATACCAGAAACGATCACCTCGACGAATCTTAATAAAATTGAAACTTTTTAAAAGTGAAAAAAGAAGAAATTAAAATAAAGAAATAAAAAACTTGATAGCACTTAATCAAATTGAAATTTATCTATAATTCATTCTTTTTCTCCCTAATTTTTATCCCTTTTATTTCATCATTTTTATTGGTACTATGAAAAATTAAATCGTAAAATGCAAACAAACAAGTAAACACGAAATGTTTCATATCTTCCCTTTTTTTTTTATTCATTAAGAAATATTTCTCTGTCCTTCGTTTTTTTTTCCTATTTTTAATATTATTATCATCTATAGGGACATTAAATTGAAAATTTAACAGAAGAAACTGATTAGTCATCATATAGGTCAAGTAAATCGGTCAATGTTCTAAATTCTATTTGAATCAATCACACCATGAATGCGATGAAATTTGATGACAATTAGAATTTATGGCGAGGAGAAATTTAAGATGATTCAAAATGTTCGCTTTTTTTTTTTATTTTAAAGAAGGAAACATTGATAAGCAAATTATATTATTCTTATTGATAACGGATATTATTTTATCACTTCGTATTGCTAATTTTCAAATTTAAAAAAAAAAAAACGAAAGAAATTAAATACCAAACCTTTTGGAATTGTTTACCGATAATACATGAAAATGTTGGTCCAACTAATGCGCCAAGTTCTGGCCTCTCAGCCATACCAAGTACAAATAAATCGACATCATCGATGTGATCGTATAATTTAACCAATTCATCCAAATCAAGTGATTGCAAAATCTATAATTAAAATAATTAATTAGTGAAAGTAAAATTGTTTGACCTTGTAAGTCCACTTTTCATTTTTTTTTTTATGTAATCATCTTTGGAGAATATACAAAAAAAAAATTGAAAATTCATTTGCAAATAGTTTAAAAATTAATTTTGCTAAAATAAAAAAAACAGCTTATATTAGAATACGAAACTGAAATTAATTTGCAAATAGTTTAATTCAATTAGTAACATAAATTTTGATTAAGGGTTAGTAAAAGATTCGACGGTAAAGAAATCCAAAGGACTAAGTATAATTAATATTTTGAATATTCTAAGGGATTGTGAGGGAAATAGATTCTAAGAAATAAGTATGATAAATATTCTAAAAGGATTCTAAGGGATTCTAAAGGAAAGTGATTGTAATGAATAAGCAAAATGAATATTTCAAAAGAATTGGGAAGAATTTTAAGAGAATTACAATATCATTCAAATCAGTAAAATTAGATGGACGTCGTAAGCCACAGGCACTTCGAAAAGCAGTGTAACCGGGAATTCCATGATCTCGACCCATTTGTATAATCATTGCTGCTAGATCAAGTCCATAATTCCCTTTGTTACGAAGGAATTCATTTTGAAATATTTATTCATATGTAATCCAGGTTTACGAATTGTTTCACGTAATAAAAATCTGTAAATTCTTTTTATCAAGATTTAATGTCGTTAAAATAAATTCGAAAATTAATTTTTGTTGAAAATTTTCAAAAT